CTTTGCGCGAAATTCAAAAAACAAACATCACAAACAACAATTCCTCCCCTAGTGGCACAGCGGGATGTCTGCATACTTTTATTGCTAAAAATCGGGTTTCGATACCCTTGGGGGGTAGAGCACAGATAGCCCATTGTGTAGCTTTGTGGTTTATTACAAACAAACATCTTCGTACTTAGAGCATGTATACTGTAATGATATAAAACAAAACACAGAGGAAGGAGATTAAGAATGATTGTTTAAATTATTAGAAAATTTTTCTATTTATTCAATCAATACCAATATTTTAGATTCTACCAAGTTAAGAAAAATGTCAATATTGAAGTTTTGATTTTAATGATGTTCCAAGTTTTGTTACTTTATACAAGAAAAAATAAGAGTTTTTTTTTTTTGTAATTATTATTTATAACCTTCAAGGTTGTTTAAATGTATCAAATAAGAAAAGACCAAATATTTCTCGAAAGTAAGCTAACTCTATAAATCAGAAATAAGATAATTAAAACAGTAACTTATAAGCTAAGGAAATTGTCACTTAGACGCGTCAATGTATTCTTTATTATATTTTATTCAAGTTTATATTATTTTATTCAGTTGGATGAAATTCAAACTATTCGTAATAGTCTAGCTAAACCTTGGAAGTTAATATTCACAGCGAAGCACCCAAGAAATTGTTCAGTATATTCTAATCATTATAGGTTTCAGTTTTCTGGTGTATTGACTTTATGTTGCCTCTTTTCTTTCGTTTTTTTTTCTATATAAGATTGCCTATCTGCTCTAGCTGTCCCTAATTTAGCAGTGAAAGACTAGAGAGAAGGCAGCTAGTCATCACCACCCACAGCCAACTCTGGGGTTGCTCTTTTACCAACGAATAGTGAGAATAACCGTAACTTTATAATGCCTCCAGGGCTAAAAGGATGGGCATGTTTGGTGGAATGGGGATTCGAACCAGTGACCCACAGATTGCGACTGGAGTGCCTAATCACCCAGCCATGCTGGACAAGGCTTTTTCTAAGACATTCCAAATGATACTAAACGTGCAATAGAAAATAAATAAAACTATTATATTTAATCATAAAAAAATTGTTACATATTCTTTGAAGCATTGTCAGAACAAAGATTTAAGTCAACTAACTACAGAGAAAATTGGAATAGGTTATAACTAAAAAAAACACAATAATACCTGGTCATTTCTTCATCTACAATAAAGAAAACGGAAATATTTTGAAATCAGTAAAGGGAGACACAACTATAGTCGTAATATAGTGAACCGAAATATTTAAATATAATATTAACATTAATTCTTTGCATTTTTTTAAAACTTTGCAGAGAGGATAAAATGTAAAGCTAAGTCCACAGTCGAGTTTATATATTTTTTATTTTTTCCTAAATTTTGTAAGTATTTTTCTACTCACTTCAAAATTATTTTTCTCCATAATATAAGTTAAAGTATCAACTTCAATCATGATATACAAAATGATTTTCAATCTAAGATGTAATTTAATATTTGATATTGATTTTTCGTGAAAATTTATTTTTCTTTTGTAAAGTCACCTGACATGTTTACTTCGATAACAGCCTTTTATAGATAGATGGCAGTAGCGATCTATCCTTGGTGTTTGGGATGGAAAAAAGGTTCGAGTTCTGAACGATTCTGGTAAATTAAGGCAAAGTAAGTAAACAAATAAATGGTATTAACAGCCCTGGATTTTAAACAATGACATTTTTGTTCTTCCTTTTAAAGGCATTTGTATGCATGTTAAGAAAAGTAAGCTCGTGACATTACCATGAAGGTCAAAATATATCTACCACTAGTTCCAGCACCAGTGTACTGCTAGTGCTAACTTGTACTATTACTAGTATTACTACTAGCAGTAGTAATACTTATTACCAGTACTAGTAGTATTAATTAGGCTTAAACCGAAGTAAAAGTAGCTTGTAGTTAATAAAGATTACTCTTATGAAGACGAGTTACAGCTTGTCAAGTTAGTATTTGTTACTGTTAAATTTGGTATGCTTAATAGTAGGACTAAGACTCGCGTAACGTTAATAGTAATAGTAACATTCCCCTGACAATGACATTGACAGGGCTGCCAACTTTTATTTTTACTTTTAGTTTTAGTAATCTGTTTGAGTGAGACTTGTAAAACTAAAAATAGCGCGTGGTAAAGTGATGCAAACGCTGAAGGCGTCCGGATTCTACTTCGAGGGGGATCTGGGGGGCATGGTTACCCAGAAAATATTGAATGAAACAAAATGGTGCAATGTGATGCATGACCTGAATGAATGTAAATTGTAATGCAGAAATTGACCTGTAACTAGCCAGTCAACTAATCACAATGCATAATGGAAGCTGCTAAAATGTGAATCTTTTTATGAATGCATGAGTGTTTGTAATTCTGCAATGGTGATAGCAGTGACGATTATTTTGACTCGAGTCAAGACAAATTAATGCATGCATTACTGGTATTTTACAAACTTTCCCATGGTCATAATTTTATCAGTGAAGATTGATGAAACTGCACTGAGTGTTTAAAATTAAATATAGCCTAACTTCAGTACTAGTGGCACACAAATTTTGTTGGTCTTTAAGTAAAGTTTTTTACATGAAGTGGTTTTCTTTGTGTATGGCAGCAAGCCTGTCTTCTGTATACTTTTTGAAAATATGAGGGTTTTACTGCTATGTGATATTTTCTGGTGTGAAAATAACTAGAGTCACTTTAAAACTGTATAA